GAATGATAAGGCAAAAAAATCCATTTATTAAGCCATGAAAACCCTTTTCCACACTATCCTCACATTGTTATTCTTTGAAGCCATATCTCATACTCTGCCTCCTCTCGCAAGTTCTTTTCCGATTTCTCCTAATTTTCCGGCGGTTTTTAACTTCGGAGACTCTAATTCCGATACCGGAGAACTCGGCTCCGGTCTTGGATTCCGTCTCCAACCTTCTTATGGACAATCCTACTTCTTCAATCCTCCATCTTCCGGAAGATTTTGTAATGGACGTCTCATCGTCGATTTTCTAAGTAATAATTAATTTCTAAGCCCTATCCTTTATTTTTATTTCCATGTATTTTTTCTACAAACAATTTTTCTAAATGTAAGGTTACATGATTTTTTATTGTTTAACAAATTGTACCACGGCAAAACTTGAATTGTCATGGTTGCATGCACCACAACAAACTAGTCTACTAAAGAAGCATGACTTTTTAATTGATCTTCATAATGCGGTTTTCACGCTCATCTAATTTACATTTTGTAGTGGAAGCAATTGATCGGCCATATTTGAGGCCTTACTTGGATTCGATAAGCACACAAAGTTACCGAAGAGGCTGCGATTTTGCGGCGGGTGGATCAACGATTCAGAAAGCAAATGGTGCATCCATTAGTCCCTTTAGTTTTGGTGTTCAAGTCTCTCAATTCATCACCTTCAAATATAAAGTCCTTCAATTGATACAACAAGGTACTTAAAACAAATAATTTTATAAACATTATAGGCGTATATGAATCATTTAGTAAGAGAACAATGTGTTTTCTTTTGTTGTTCTATTTTATTTTTCAGATGAAGACCTTGAAAGATATTTACCGTCGGGATATTTTTTCAAAAATGGATTGTATATGTTTGATATCGGACAAAATGATCTTGCCGGAGCATTTTACAGCAAGACCTTAGATCAAGTCTTTGCTCTGATTCCTACAATCTTAGATATATTTCAAGATGGAATAAAGGTTCGTATAAGTATTTACATGAATCTTAAATTCTTTTTTATATAACGACATTTAAGTACTTACTACAAAGCCATAGATATCTATCATTCTTATTAATTTTTCTTTCTTGATTGTAATCTTTTTTTTTTGGCTAGAGATTATACGTAGAAGGAGCAAGAAACTTTTGGATACACAACACAGGACCACTTGGGTGCTTAGCTCAGGCTGTCTCACTATTTGGGAGAGACAAATCAAAACTTGATGAGTTTGGTTGTGTTAGTGACCATAACCAAGCTGCTAAGCTCTTCAATTTACAACTTCATGGTCTTTTCAAAAAACTCCCTCAACTATATCATGATTCTCGTTTCACATATGTAGATATTTTCGCCATCAAATCCGACCTCATCTTCAATCATTCCAATTATGGTACGTATAATAATAAGTTCACTATTCTGACTAAATTATATACAATGTAGCTACTACTAGCTCTGATTGAAAAACTAATTTTGTTATTGTATGTAAAAAAGGTTTCGATCATTCGATAATGGTATGTTGTGGAACCGGAGGACCTCCACTGAACTACAATGATAAGGTTAATTGCGGTTCTACAGCGAACTTGAATGGTACGATAATTACAGCCAAACCTTGTAATGATAGTTCCAAATACGTTAATTGGGATGGAATTCATTACACCGAAGCTGCAAATCGTTTTGTTGCACTGCACATTCTCACTGGTAAATATTCCGAGACCGCGTCGTTTTGGAACCTTTAGAAATGCTTCAAGAAATATTGTGATTGTGGAACTAATTAAGAGAAATTACAACTTACTTTTC